AAAGCATATTCTGTGTATTGTTGGGACGTCTAATGAGGAAGGGACGGAACCGAAGGCAAACAGAAAGTGTTTCTCGTTTGGGTTTATAAAGAAGGCGACTGAAAAGCTTGCTCTTTCCAAACAACGTGCTGATTTCTTCGACGGGATTCATCCATATCGTTAGGGTTGTTTATGACACAAGAGAAACAGAAGCGATTACTTTTGAAGATGAAATGACACAGCCAACATCAATTCGGTCTCTGTATTTCATCTATTGGAAGGACACACCGCCTTCGAGACCCCACTGAAATGCATTTGGGGAAACATACATTGTTGACCACTTGTACAACGACGAAGAGTGACAACATTTTAGACGAAGAAATCATAAGAACCGACCTTATTAGAATCACTTTGAGCTCGACGGTGATCTCCTTGTCACCTCTACTATAGTAGATGAAGTTCTTCACAACGCTTGGACAAAGAAAAAGCACTAAAACGTGTTGCAAGACAAAATTTAGTTCAAAAGAATGCTGTGGCGACATTCTCCTGATTACTAGATGTGGTCATCGAGTAACTCCTGAACCTGGGAAAAATCATTGCAGCAGACAACTATAGCCAAGAAATTGACAAAATTCGTTAAGAACTGCGAGGTATACGATCGGCATTGGTCAATCGAAAGAAACAATTCTATTGTACGTCAGCGCCCTATATATCGCATAAATAACAGCAATAGACAGGACAGACTGGGGAAACAAAAAAGCTCTCTCACACTACACACTTCGTAGACTCGTTCCAAAGTGAGTAGCAGCTTAGCTATTTCCTTATGCTTCAAGTGTTTGTCGAGCACCACTACAACAATCTACCAGCAAGAGAACTCTTCAACGACTGTTGCTTTGGTAAAAATTCATTTATAAAATGCTTTCACTCCAAAAGCGTAAGACTCTACCGTAATGGATTGCCTAGAACGTCACTAGTTGGCTAGGCCTGTCCTGATTTAGAGGATATGCCGAAGTAGCTTAAAAAATAATGAGATTGCTGCTTCTTTCGACCGTAGTGTAGAATTGATAGAAGGAAAGGAAAGTTCTACCAAAATCTGTCCCCTTTGAGAGCACTTCGTTTTAAAGCAGAAAATTTTCGCTGAAAAAACTGATCCCGATTCCTCCCTCTGAAGTCAGAGTTGCGACGAGGAGTCTGAAGAGGTGTAGGCTCCTGGACCAAACCGCACCACACTCGTGTTCTTCCGAATTGGAATCCATGATCGACAATCAGTTCTCACAACTCACATGACAACTCGCCTTCAAAGGGGAAGGATTCCTTATCAGTGGAGGACTTCGTGCACGACCACTATGCCTGAGGAAAATGGGGGAAGAGATAGTCACAACTCGTGCTTAATTTGTTCGTGATGTGCGCTCTATAAGTTGTTCATGAAGATTGCCCTATGTGAGACTTGTAGTTTAAAAGTTTGGAAAATAGGAATCCAACAAAGACTCGGCGGCAAGAATCACATATAAAGAGCCAAAGAAAACTTGTTGATAATGACATCTTCACCTCTTGTAACCTCTGCCAAAGAGAAGGGTTTGGCTATCATGGATTAAATGGATTCATTTTTACCAGCGTTCACCAAGAAGTGGATTTCTCTTAGACAACTGTATCTCTATACGACTGTTTTAGCTACTATATGCCTCGCCACAGTTTACCGCCTCATTGTGGTTGGGAGGTGTTTCTGGGTGACGGATGCGATGTACAGCGGGTGGAATTCATCTCTCAGCAGAGTCTCCCACGCTGAGAAGGAGTCCGGCGTTTCCATCAGGAAGCCCAGCTAGGAGTAAACCAATACCAGGATCCACCACCGTCTTGTTATCAAACTAGTCGCATAGTGGCAAATCTCCCTCTGATCCATAAGGGCGGCGACTGTCTGTGGAGGTGACGACCTGGGGCAGACTTTAGCCAGGCTGACCTCATGACTCCAGGAAACCACGATGGCTAAACCTACAAAATTCCAAAAAAAAATGGAAATTATGCTGGGGTCCGCACAACCAGTGAAGGCGAGCCATCCAAGAATCCAAGTAAGTAAGCTACTATACCACGAAGACGCTGCTCTCACATTGTCTTTCAAGCATTTCTGCAAGAAAAGAGAGTCTCTACAAGTCGACACCATCTCGATATTGTTAACAGTCACGATAAATAAATAGTGGTTTTATTAGGCGGGAAGGGTAAACGTATTGAGAGAAAATTCTTAACAAATCACCGTTTTGTTGATTTCTTCAAGGTGAACCGGTGGATAAAGACGATGCCCAAAGAAATCAGCGAAAGAGATTGGGCTCTGGATAAAATGGATGAAAGCCTAGTTCATGAGAAATCCTCGCTGCAAAGGACAGCAAGTCAGTGCATGGTTAAGTTTAAGCTCAAATTCATAAACGACAGAGATCATATCCTACGCTCATCTAGAGTGTTCCATGAAACGAATCCTGGCAGTGGTGGCCTTAGGGTTCTGTTATGCAGTACGAACACGGATTGACCTCTCAACCACATTGAGAAGTTTCTAGAACGTCCAAATAGCCGTTGAATATGTTGGATATTGAAAATAACCGACTAATAATACTGGAATGTTACATGAAATACGTTCAGGCTTTGAAGAAGGTGAAGTCGCAAAGACGTCAGCCATCAAGTTTCATGAATAACCTGATAAAAACCTCGTGTCATATCAACAGGACTAGTTCGTAGGATTAGAAAAGTTAAATCAGATTAAAATGGATTTTGATGCTAAGGATTACTAAATGTCGGTGCTTCGAATTAATATCAGAATGGAGTCCAAGAAGATTAAAGCGCCTAGAGTTACCCACTACCACCTGTCAGATGTATGGACGTGTTCCTATCCCACATTAGCCATCTGTGCTCGCAGTTGGAAATCGTTTATCATTAGCGAGACATTACTCACAGATGTCATTAAGGGGTGAACAGACTATTTACAAGGATAACGATGGTGATGAAAAGCAATTAATGGGGCTTATGCTAAGGCAAAGTGCGTGACGGCCATCTCGCAAAAAGATAAAAGTAGAAAACTTTCGGCCTTCATCAATCCCTGAGTGATTCGCCGTGCATTCGACTTCATTAAGTATCGTTGGAAGTGACTGAACATCCGGCCGTTACAGTGACTCGCGGTGCTCTACCGATGTATCGAGTCAGTGCTGCTACCCTCCTAGACAAGTCTGGTATCAGTTTACCGACCCCGGAGAGATGGAGGGCTTAGTGAGCTTGGAGCGGCGGGATCCCATCCCGGGATCCGATCCCAAGTGGATTGCACGGCGCCTCCGACCACTGCGCCACACGGGCCACTTATGTAGCAAAAGCAGTTTGAGGGAGAAAATCATGTTGTAATTGTGGTGATCCTCATGTAGCTCAATCGAGTGTAACGAATAAAGTGCACTCACTCTTTTTGGTTCCTTATAGGCCAACTGAAGACATCATCCAACCGCGCCCACCTTCGTGTGTCAGGCCCGCGGGACCACGCGTGTTCATGGAGCAGTTGAAATGCGCATTGGGATCAAGATGTACGGAGCCCGTGAGCTCGCGCAAGAAGCATGGCGCACTGGTTCCTTGAACTAATCGTCCTACCCGATTCTCTCACACATTTTCCGTATCTCTCCAGCTTCTAAGTGTCCACTATGTTATTTCGCTTATGTTCCCATGTTCTTAAAAAATAGCTAACATTTGCTTTCGGTCGAAGAGAAGCCCTCTACCATCTAATTATAGTGCTGTCAGCAGTCGACGAAGTTGTGTAAGTCGTAAAAAGGATACAACGGTGTTTACCTCGTGGTTCTGACATCCTCTCATTCCAAGTTATACACACGATTCATCGAAGCGACTGAAAATGAGACTCCAACGAGTTGCCTGTCGAAAATAATGCCTCACGCAACGATGCCAGTTCTTCGATAACTTTCGACCCAATGATTAGTTTACCTCAAAAGTTGGGACCTTAAGAAGTTTATGGAAGAAACTTTGCGCTATCGTTCTACGAGCATGAATTCTACCATATATCCTCTCATTCCGGACGACAACGACGACGTTTCATGGTAGCGAGTGGATGAGAGAACAAGCAAGCGGTACATTACTTATTTGCATTATTCATACATATTTAGTACTGTTCCGCAAAATAGGCCAAAAATAGCATGAGTACTGAAATCAATACATAGCGTCCGAAACGCCCAGTAGATACATACCAAAGTCAATGTGCATGGTCGTGAAAACGTTTACTCAAAGCTCCGAAAAGCTCGCCTGCTGGAATCTTCTTAAAGAGCAAGATAACCTGCTCGAGTTGAACACTGGAGCGCCAATCTGCATCAGATACTCAGCCAGTCAACGCTTCACTGTTGTTAAAGATGTCCTACGTCGTAGATTGTTCCAAGCGCTTGTTTTTGTTGTGTGTTGCTTTCCACATTTGGATGGGTCATTATTTCACTTTAATGGCGTTCGAAACTTTCCGGCGTATCTTTCTAGTCGAAGGGTTCGAAAGAATTCCAAGGGTTTGCTTTGTATGTCTGCATGAGGCTTATCTCCGTTTTTGTGTACTGCTGACTCCTTAGCTGGAATTATTCGGTAGTGGAGAAGGTGCTCGGACCGTCTTAGACGCGACTGCCATCGGTGCGAGGTGTGGTTAAGTGTACCTCGAGTTGATTTGGCTTTCCTTATTTCCCTAATTTAAATGGGCGACTTCATTTGACACCTAACTGTTTTCTTCATGCTCGTCTTAAACATGATTGTCAAAGCGACCTCGTTCTTTTGTGTTTTTCTAATTGAAACGAGGGTTGATGTCAAGAAATCGTTGAAAACATTGATTAGTGGTAAATAGCTAGATTTAGAGAAGAGCTAAACAGAGAAAGACGCATCTCCGCTTGAATCCACCTCTGGAGTTGTAATATCTATTCAGTATTTAATATTATCTCATCTTTTAATAGAAGTTAAATGTGGAGCATCCGTGGTTGCATGCTGAAATTGCTGATAGTACGTTCTCTAGGGTAAAGATGGTGCTTGTTGCTGGTACAAAAGTTAAAATTGTGAAGAAAAAGGTTACAAAGTTCAAGAGACATGAGTCCGAAAGGTGAGCATTTCTTACTAACTTTTTTCCCTTTACTTTACAGCTGTAGAAATGGAACAGTTGTATACCTAGATTACTTCAGATATCATCGTCTGAAGCCCAACTGGCGCAAACCAAAAGGTATTGACAATCGTGTTCGTCGTCGCTTTCGTGGTATGCGAGCTATGCCCACTATTGGTTTTGGATCAGACAAGAGAACAAAGTTTGTTCTTCCATGTGGCTATAAAAAGGTGCTTGTCAGAAATGTAAAGGTTAGTTACATTCCTTACCAAGTGTTCCATCTATCATTCGTGTATTTTTCGAGTAGGTTATCTCAGAGCAGTTTTTCTTGATTTGATTCTGGTCCACATAGTTTTGAAAGGACGCGCCATTATAGCTGATAACGTTTCTACAGCATTTTCCTGGGCGCGTGTAGCCAAGTTGTCGGGAGTTTCTTGCAGTACACATAACATCAACCCCCTCACCCTGGGCCCACAAAGCCTTCCATCCCTCCGTGGTCGGCAAATTGGTACCAGACTTGTCTAGGAGGATAGCGGCGCTGGCTCGATACATCGGTAGGACACCGCGAGTCATTGTAAAGCCTAGATATGCACTCAGTCACCTCCGATGATGCGTAATGAAGTCGAATGCATGGCTGTTCCCTCAGAGATCGATCAACGCCGAGAGCTTTATTCTCTATTTTGTACAGCATTTCCCAAGCGCCTACATCGTTTAACCCATGTCAGGATGTGTTTCTTACAACACTGATTGACTGCGTTGTTTCTGTATTTTCAATTATATCTTCCACTATTTTGGTGCGGTACTGATTAAAAGTGTGTAACTCATACACGTTCCAATGTTTCGAAAGTAGAGCTCATGCTTCGCAATTTGAAACAGTTAATTTTATGCTGACATGGGGAAAATCGATAGATTTTTAGGAATTTTAAATATAAATATACGTACGTTGGCCTACACCGGTTAATTTTCTCTTCTTTTTTATTCCTTCTTTCCGATCTTACAAGACTTCATTTTCGTCAACACTGCTTTTGTTATTTTTGTGGACATTTGTTCACCAAGCATTTTCAGGATCTTGATATGCTTCTTATGCAGTCTTTTCGCTACATTGGTGAAGTAGCTCATACAGTCTCTGCGCAGTCTCGGAAGGCTATCGTAGAACGTGCTGCACAACTGAACATTAAGTTAACAAATGGACACGCACGTATTCGCACCGAAGAGAGCGAATGAAGTTGTTTTTTGTTACAATAAATTGTTTTCTTTCTCATTTTAACGAAGGAAATATTTGCTAGAAGTCAACATATGTGTTGTGTCAAAATAGGAGCCATGAGACAAACAATGTAAGGAACAATATGCTATGGAAAATGTCTGTGCATTTATACATTTTAATACATAAACTCATCCCGTGAAAAAGGCAAACAACATGTTCCTGAAAGTCCTCAAGAATGTTATTCATTGAAGAGGTCTTGAAAATATGAATGTGTACTAGGAACAATACTGGGAAAATAACTGCTTTTAGCTGAAGTGGATTCTATGGTTCGGAAATGGAAGTGTTGTAAAAGATCGGTGGTTGGGATACTTCCAGAAGTTATGTCATAGCATTTAGAATGTAGTAAGAAAGACCACTGGAGAATCCTTCAGTGCATATCTAGGATTTTTCAGAAGTATTGACTGCTTTTAGTACCACTGGGATAATTGAATGGCAAAATGAGTGGCGTGTTATGCATGAGTTGCTGAGAAATTAAAGAATGACAATATAAGGTGTGGAAAGGATGCTATTTTGTAGAATATGCCCATTCATCGAATCCCAGGTTGCTAATATTAACTTCCCATCCGTGTTTACGTAGTTCGTCCATGAATATTATGAAGTCGTTAGAAGGAGTGTCCTTTTTAGCAAGAGTCTCTAAATCGAATAAAGCATTTAGAGCAGAGTAGTTGCATCCGCCATCTGCCATGGCAATCCAGCCAATATTTCGGCTTGTATCAAACAGCAGTGTATACGAGTCCTTCATGACCAATCGAGAAGAAGGGACTCTGAAAAGCATAGTTTAGTGGGTTTAGGTGCAGATTTAATAATATACCTTCTATGATAGGACAAAAGGTCAAAGAGTGAGCATCCTAAATATCGTTTGCCAAAAGAAGAGAACAGCGGTTCAGCAATATTACATTCGCGGACAGACAGAATCTTCCCACAAGATAACCATGACCTGTAAGCGGTGAACTTTGTTATGTTAATAACCCATAGATGTTCCACACATTCAATTTTCAATCGTTAAAAAGGGTGAGCTCTCACAATGGTTTACCACCTCATCGTGGATGGGAGGTGTTCCTGGGTGCGGGATGCGATGTACAGCAAGGGGATTCATCCCCAGCAGGGTCTCCCACGCTGAGGAGTCCGGCGTTTACATCAGGAAGCCCAGCTAGGAGTAAACCAATACCAGGATCCACCACCGTCTTGTTATCAAACTAGTCGCATGGTGGCAAATCTCCCTCTGATCCACAAGGGCGGTGACTGTCTATGGAGGTGACGACCTGGGGCAGACTTTGGCTAGTGACTAAACCAGTAAAACTCCGAGAAAATGGAAATTATGCTGAGCCCGTAAGTAAAAAGGCAGACTAATGTGGATGGACTGTAATTTATGAGAAACCAGATACCCTCTCCAGATCTCGGACGTAACCAGTGAACTAACCTTATGAGCATAAAAGCTCTTTTCTGATTCATTGTCTCCATATTCAAAGAACGTACTGCTTGGTAGTTCGCATACAAGTGGGTGAACGTGAAAATCTGAGTGCTGGTGTTTTAGTAAAACATCGTTTAAAGTAATAAACATGTTCTAGTGGGACATTTTATCATTGTACATTGAAGTACTCCATCACAGTCATGAACTTTGCCAGCTTTACAACGCGTATTTTCGTGCATTTCTATGCTGTACTTTTTTTGAACAGAACACATCAAAGAAAGTTGAGATCACATTATCTTTGTTATTTACATCTATTAGTGCGCATGTAGCGCAGTGGTCGGAGACGCCGTGCAACACGCGTGGAATAGGTCCCGCGCCCATGGCAAGCCTTCCATCCTTCCGGAGTCGGCAAATTGTACCAGAATTGTCTATGAGGTCAACAGCACTGGCCCAATACATCGGTAGGCCACCGCGAGTCATTGTAAAGGCCAAATATCCATTCAGTCACCTCCAACGATGACTAGTGAAGTCGAATAAGTGGCGCATCCCTCAAGGATTGATCTACGCCGAGAGCTCTTTTTAATCTTTTAAGGTGATTTGTCTAAGAAATAATGTCAATTTCTATGAAAAAAAATTACCAAATACAGTGACCATACGAAAGCCAGCTTGCCGCTGACTAAAGGCAACATAATAAGTGAAACAAGAAGAGCAGAAATGTTCACCACCGTTTCTTGGCTGCCATCTTTTGACGCAACATCAGCAAGGTTATTTCGACGAGCCTAAATTTACACGTAGCCATTGATTTGCACGAATCTACAGGAAGAAAACATTGCTGTACAATGTTGGACCTGATGTTGCACGATGGCTGTTCTGGTGGCCCCTCCTGCTACTCCGACGACACTTCGCAAAATAGATGATGTACAGGCGCAAACAAAGAAAGAGCCACTTAAAGCTGGCGAGATAAGATCGATGAAAAAGGCCAAATCGTTGAATATATCGGCCACGAAACGCCACTTCTTGCAGTCGTAGTCAAGCTCGGAGCCTGTAAAAGAGACGTTAACTTCGGCAATGACGTTAACGTAGTAAAGAAGAAAACAGATTTGCCTTTAAAGAAGCCAAATGTGATACGGCCAATCATCCCCAGTCCATCCTTTGTGAGCCATGTAAGCGAGGCTGCCAGGGTGGAAGCTGACTATATTGATAATTTCATTCTATCGAACAAAACTGCTGCTTGATGAAAAGTACCCACTTCTACTTTATTGTTATCGTTGATGCGGTAATCACAGGATAAAAGGACCCACACCTTACCAGTCAATCTTTTATTTTTGGATTAGTCCACTTTTTAAATATCGACGCTCTGCATCTTGTCAGTCTAAAACTTGGTCAACTTTCTCAAAATACCACATTCTTCAAAAATCATCGGCCGTATTATCCATCTGGAACATCAATTTACTTGGATACTTGGACGAATCATCCTTACTGGTTGTGCGGGCCCCAGTATAATCTCCACTTTTTCGGAGTTTCGCTGGTTTAGCCATTGTGGTTCCCTGGAGTCCCGAGGTTAGCCAAGCCAAAGTCTACCGTCAAGTCGTCACCACTACAGGCAGTCGCCACTCTTGTGGATCAAAGGGAGATTTGTCGCCATACGACTAGTTTGATACCAGTATAGTGGCGGCTGCAATGGATGCACTTGCGTGGTAGTGACCGTTGAGCCGCTCAGAATAAAGTTACTATAGAGGATATTATTTTCTACTAGATAATGTTTATTGGTCGACTTGTCGACAACCAGGACGGTGGTGGATCCTAGTATTGGTTTACTCTTAGCTGGGTTTCCAAATGGAAACGCCGGACTCCCCAGCTTGGGAGGCTCTGACGGGGGATGAATTCCGCCGCCGTACATCGCAGCCCGACACCCAAAAACATCTCCCAGCCTCGATGAGGAGATAAACCGTTGGGATGGGAACATCAACACGGAATAAAACCCTCATGCTTGCTTCTGAATATCAACCTAGAAAATCTAGAACAGTATTACTTGATCGCCCACTCCAGCTCCTTTGAGAACAGCTTCCGTGGCCAGGGCTCCAGTCAGAGAACTCGCAAACGCTTGCAGTGTGTCCCATCGCTGATACTGCATGTAGTCATCGCTAACGGAAGACGGATAACCTGAACGAAAACTTCGCATTCGAACACACAGATCATTGGCGTTCACAACCACTAGGCGTACCTTGAGGAAGGAAAATCTCAGTCAAGAGAGTTTTTAAGCGACTCCAACAGGACAGAAGTGTTCCCGACACACCAGCCACGTTCGTGACACTACTCGTAGGCACATGGGTCCCAGAGTGATAGCAGACTTTTCGAATTGGTCGTCCAGAGTAGCTCTCAGTGAAGAACTCCATCCTCCTAAAGGAAATACGCAGCACAGACACCCACCCGTTCGCATAAATGGGATTTGCTTCATGGTGCCCTGCGTCTCCGCCTCAGTCAGAGGCAGACGACCAGGCGATGGCCTCAAGCGCATTGTGCGGCGATCGGCGTGGGAGCGAACTGCTGGCACGCTAGGACTCCCGCTGTCGGCTGTCCGGATGTGCGGTTCCGTCACATGTTGCTTGCTTGACTGGCCCGTCATCATTGGTTGTACCGGCCCAGCATAATTTCCGTCTCTTCGGTGTTTTGCTAGTTTAGCCATTGTGGTTACGTGGGGTCCCGAGAGCAGCCTGGCCAAAGTTTGCCCCATCCTTCACATCTTCTTGTCGTTACCCGTATTGCGCTTATTTCTATTCTTAGGAGATTATGACATCGAGGCCTGACTTTCTACAACGGAGATGGCGACTTCTGGCTCAGTTATTTCCTGATCTGACCGTTCTTTTTCTATACGACCCGCCATGACATCTTGTGGATCTCAGCACTGCTTGCTTCCGACTCGTTTCCTCGCATCCATCATTCACGACAATCCTCGAGTTTTTTGCGTGTGCGTTGTGCTGCTGCTTGAGGATCGTCATCTTCTTCATGCATGTCGTGACGTTTATGTTGAAATCGTAATGTTTGTTTATAATGTGTTATTCAGATAGTGCTGTTATGTTGTGGAGAATGTATTTTCTCTGAATATTCGGTCTGGAATGACGGGAGGATCGTGTGGAGAGGTGGTACGGTCCATCCTACGATCGCACTGTGATGGCTCACAAGGAGATATCGATTACGTTGAGGTAAGCGAGAATGGACAGTTCGGAAGGTGGACTTTCTCGCTTATGCGCACCACATCTCCATTGTAACATTGACTTTAAGCTGTTCTTGGATTTCGAAAATGCCTCTCCTCAGGACGATGAGCGCGATTTGTTTGATCTTTGCGAGAGATTAATCAGTCACTGTGCGGATGTTTTGGCCGATGTTAAGAGCTATGGAAAAGGTTTACTCCTTTATTCTATTACAATATCCTAAAGTCCATTCAGTTCAGTCTAGTTAAAGGGCGCGTGTGGCGCAGTTGTCGGATGCGCCCTGCAACACACGCATGGGATCGATCCCCTCGCCCCTGCTTCGCCAAGCCTTCCATCCTTCCAGGGTCGTCAAATTGGTACCAGACTTGTCTGGGAGGATAGCAGCACTGGCTCGATATGTCGGTAGGCCACCGCAACTTATTGTAAAGGCCAGATATGAATTCAATCACCTCCGAACGATGCTTAGTGAGGTCTAATGTATGGCGCATCCCTCAGGGATTGATCAGTGCCAAGAGCTTTATCCTTTATCCTTTTTAAGCCAGTTTTATTGACTTCATTTGAATTGTTACTGTTTAGGTGCAACAGATGTCATCCGAGAATCATTGCAAAACCATCAGGATTTATCGTTGAGAAATTTGGCCATGAATGTGGTGGCAGAGTTTGTTTCACGTATCAGATGTTATTTCGAACTGTCCTTACGAATAGAAAAAGTAGGTTTGTTTTGTCTGATGAGGGATTGATGCTCGAGTTTTTAATGTATTTGAGGTTTTCCTTGTTTTTCTGTCTTTTTTGTTTTCTAACGTTCATTTTCATTTTTATTTCGGGCAAATTGGTGCTCAGCATTATAGGAGAGAAACGTTTTCGATACTGAGTCAAGCTTTTGCTGTATTTCAGTTAGTTCCGGACTTACTTTGGGATTTGTGTTCTGGACCACTTCCACCGGAAGAACAGCTAGACAGAAAGCAATCATTAGCACGTCAATTAGCTCGGATAGTAGACTTTGTCTTGGATTTTGATGCCGCTAAGGTAATCTTTTGACAGATAATTACTAATAACACTGACAGAAGTAAAAAGTGGCTGAGAGAAAGGCAACGTAAGGACTTTAGTTGCTGTGATGGACAGCACGAGAGCCTTTGGCAAGGGTAATCATGGGTTCAAAGCCCACCTCTTTTTCCGAGTTTTGTTTATGTATTCTTGTGGTTGTATTCTTTTTATGTTAATTTCGGCTATTATTTACCGTCATAATTCCTGTAGTATTGGCCGGTCGTGGTCTGCTTAGTGACTTATCTCCTGATCGTAGATGGATCGGGTTCCTAGATGTCGAACCACAATGTGGATCGAGTTACTCATCATTTCAAAAGGGTGACTCATGTTGAACAATTTGGTATTGCCATTGGGAACCCCAGCTAAAAGTACTAGTAAAAGTAGTAAAAGTAAAGTAGTAAAAAGTAAAAGTAAAAGTAAAGTATTCCATGGTAGAACTCGGGTAGCCACCAATGTTTCCTTTTCTTCAAAATCTGGCAAAGAGCGTAATAGTAGAAGACTGGTGCTATTCATGTCCTCCGAACTAGTGGAGTGCAGCGGTTAACTCTGGTGGACGACGAGGAAGAATGGAGTTATTGTGATAGTTAACGAGATTACATTCGTTTACTAGATTATTCAGAGAATCGTTTACTCTAGCATTTGAGCGTTAACAAATATGTCGTCTTTTTTTAAAGGTAATTGTCTCAGGGTTTCATTTCCACGTCTCACTTTCCCTTCAATTACCACTAAAATCAGACCATCTTAGCAGTGGGAAAACTCAAAGTGTGTGCACTACTTTGCAGGACTTTGCACGTGGCCAATTGTAATGAACGATTTCCTTAGTAATTTCTTAGAATCTACTTCCTATTAACCTCATCGTTGGTCAGCGACTTTATGTTTTCTTGATGAGAAAGTGAGAGATTATTATAACAGCAACTATTTCACGCTGGCTATCCTTCACGAGGATATTACCCTCCTGAGAGATTCGAAATATTGATTTGATATCCAATCTACGCAACCAAGAAGTTGAGAGACTTCGAATTCCTCTTAGATAATTGAGCGAACTCGGCGTTGTTACGAAGTTCTTATTCGGATAATATTTCGGCGACTTTCATCAGAGCCGCGTTGATTTGAGTCGATGGTCGACAACCGGCCGTTCTGGCGATGTAGGCCTTCTTCATCGCAGCGAGTCGACTTATCATCGTATTTACTGAAATTTATCTAAAATGCGAAATCATTTGGAGAAGTTTTTTCCTTCTCTTTTTGCTTTTTTTCTCGTCCTTTCTATGCTATGAAGAAAACGAAATCAATCGAAACGCTAGCCAGGGTGAAATAACCGTTTTACTAACAACCTCGTTTATGCTCATCGTAGAAACGTAAAGTTACAGGACTTCTGCCTTAAATTGTTGGAGGTGAACCCAGGATATGGGAGACTTCCCCTTATGGGACATGTTGTAGTATTTATGTGGAGTGTATCACTTTTTTTAAAAATTGTCCTTGTTTTAAATCACTGGATGATCATAAACAAGACGTATTAAGAGATGAAGCTAGGTCGACCTGTTCGTTTCTCAACTGTTGAAGTTTAGATGTGCACGCCTGCTCTTCAAAACGACTTCAGTCATTATCGACGGGGTATTGGGTTGGGATTACTGGAAAGGAGTGCGGCGTGAGCGGCTTCTGGAAAGCTTCTACATCTCTGCCTAGTTATTGGTTATTGATAGGAATAAGTTTAGTGAAGTGGAGTTAGCGAACTCAATATCGTTATTTCTTGCCACACCAACACCGATGCTATCGAGTTTAACCACTGCCACACTTGAATTTGTTCAATCTCATCCAATGCTACCGATAGGAAATACGACTGACACATTAGCGACTATCGTTAGGTACGTCTTAACATATTGTTAGAGTACTAGCAGTAAACTCTGAACTAAGCGAACAACAAAAACATTACCCAGATGGTCTCTTTATCTTCGCTGAACTCACATGCTGTATGTGTGTGACGTAAACGGCCAGAACGTGGCTTCCTGTTGTGTAATACATGCACATGATATCTTTACGTCCTTTTCTTGCCGTTGGTGTCGTTTACTGCGTGCAATTCGTTCTATTTTTCTTAAAAATTTAATCAGCTTTGGACTTAACCCCTCCGATTTTAAACTGCCTTGAGGCGAGTGTTTAGAGCACCTGTTCTTTTAGTCTTTAGGATTTAATACAAATATCACCAACGGATTAAAAGTGAACTACGCTTGTATGAGTAATTTCCTGTCCACTCAAATTATAGTTCGTGACTTTATTCTGAATTCGATGACGCTTCTTTTAAGCCGAATGATAGTTAACTAAATTTCATTTTCGAGATTTGATGTCTCTATCAAGATAGGAGCACTGTAACCTCGTTGCATTCTCCCATGATAGTTGTATAGAAAATACTAGAGGAAGTAGAAAACAATGGGTGGATTGCATACACACAAAGCGGAAATCTCTATCATGTTCTGCGTTTCGTATTCTTTGGATACCGTAGAAAGCTCGGAGTACCCTGAAGAACCACGTAGGACTTAAAAAATCTGTATTCATTCGGAAAAGTTGCATGCTTTGAAGTATGCAAAGAAGTCATTGCAGTGTATGTCGTTATATGGTCGCTTCACCCGAAGTGTCTGCACGTGTAACAGAAACGACACGTCTGTTCTGCATTCGAGTGATGGTCGGTTGCCTCATTCTCTACGACCATATTGATGAAAACGGTGCTTTCGTACGGGAATCCCCTATAAATCTCCGCGCGGTGGTCAATGTTGTCAAGGAGCAGACACAACCACCACAGGTTCTCTCAAATAACGTTATTTTATCACGTTTTTACAAATAACCCATTGAGTTCCGTCCATTGCATATTAAGCAGCCCTTTGGCAAGTCTAGAGTGGAACTCCATCAGGTTCTTTTTCAGACAGAAGCTTTACTTAACGCACTTCGCTACACTTCAAAACACTTCTCGCAAGCTTCCACACCAAAGTCAGTGAGAGCGATTCTGGCTTGACTCGACTTATCCTTTATGCTTTCGTCTTCCTCACATTTTTACACACAGTATTAACTCGCTTCATTCCAAATATCCACGACATTCGTGGAAATTGCGTACTGCTCATGGTGTTCGATACTTGGTAAGATCCTAGTCATTTTACATGTAGTATATATATATATATATATATGCATATATATATATGCATATATATATATTTCTAAGTCATAACTAGTCTAAACATAGCAGTTTATCATGTTAGGCAAAATTAATTTGTGAGAAAATTGGCAATCAATATTTGTAATAACGTATACTTTGCACAGATGTTCGACTGGAGTAAAGATGTTACACTTTCAAGACAACCTTTGACAAACAGTTTCTGTTCAAAAACCGTCTTGCATAAAAGGCAGTCATAAAATGATTCCGACATATCGGGTCCCAGACCAGTTTACATTTACAACAAACATGCTTAGAGGAGTCATTCTCATCGTATAGTAATGAAGCGGGCTAGAAGAATGCACACATTCGAAAGGAAGTTGAGTCGTGGTACTCACAGAAATATGTGTACGAAAACTGTACGAAACTGCGATATACGATCGTTTAAGCTTACTTAATGACAACGTATTCAATGACAAGTCCCATCGTTTCGAAATCACGTGCTGCATTTCTCACAGCAATGAACATTTCTTCTTTTTCTCCATTGGTGGAGGTTCTAAGGCAGCCATTATGGCCTCATCGAATACATTCTTCAATCCTTTCTGAAACAAAGTTACAACAACATAAGTTAAACTCGAACTTTACGGAAACAACTCATGATAGGTATCGTAAGCAAGGCCGTTGGCGACACAAGAATTGACCAATTTGAACTCTAACACGCAACGACGCCCAATTTTTCTTGAACACCCTAAAGGATAATGCTAAATTCTATGTCATTACGGGACTGCTGGTTATTCGATAGTAAAGAATATTTCGAAAACCAGATTACTGGAAGGGTTAGCTATACCACGCAATTGTAGAGGAAGTTTCGATCTATCGCTCTATAGTTACAATTTGCACACGTGGAACTATGGACCGTCATATAAACGCATTACTCTCAGCTTCTGTCTCTTGTAACCTATATCGAATCCGTTCCTGTACTTATTCTAACCGCTCATTTCATACGATAACTACTACTCGTTATAGCGATTAAAACTTAACAGTCAATTACCAGTAAAATTACGAGCAGTGAACTCGTTCCAGAAAGGTTTTATATACATTTCTAATTAGAGAATAAAGTTTTCTCCAGCCGAAGTTCGCCATATCACTAATGCGGACATAGCAATCGACTGGCCACAAGAAGTATGAGAAAACAGTTCTGCACTCTAAAGTGAAGCATCGAAAACAAAATGACCTCCGTAGAGTCATACCGGCCGCTACGTCTGCTAATGAAATAGTTTCTACAGAGATCACGACGCTCACTAACCCTTAGGACATCGCTCAATATTCTCGGTACTTTGACTTCTTTCAGCTAACGGCTACATTTTTACAGAAGAAACAAATTCAGAAGGGCTAAAGGAAGCATGTTGCAGAAGTGGCAACAAACTGTTGTCCAGGCACTAAATGTGAATAAGTGTGAGCAAATACCGCGGATACTTCACTTATGCACAACGAACAACCACACAGTTCATATTGATACCCGTTTCGATAAGCAAATTTTGTGCTACAATATTTAAAAACATCATTGCTGAACGTGTGAACAGCATTTGTCTTTGCAAGAGTTGCGCAATAGCAGAGCTCAGTTTACTGCTGCTCTCAACGGAGGAAGAGATCTCAAACGGTTATAAACTCTTCCCTAATTAACCGTAACTTGACTCGCTCGCCAAATCTAGCCAATGTTCTACCCAGAAACTTAAACACCTGTAGTGAACTCTATAGGAACTGGCAACTGGGAGTGCATAGAATAAAAGTGAAGATATGAACACATGAGATTATCTATTATTTTTGTAACAAAAGAACATAATATTCACCTGTGTAAGAGCTGAACACTCTACATATTTCACTGCCTTAAGTTCCTTTGCCAACTTCTCTCCTGTATCCGACGAAATAGGTTTCTGCTTGTTCTTAGCTAATTTTTCCAGCATCGACGGATCGTCACGTAAATCCACCTTGAACAAAAAACGGTGCACATTACAATGGATTATTTTTCCATACCCATCCTTCACATTTAATATGAAGATCCGAGTATTTCCTGCTATTACGGAACCGTTTTCCGTTCCATTTTTCAAGGAATACATTATTTGGATACTTGGATGGCCCATATTCACTAGTTGTGCGATCCACAGCATTATTTCCATAGTTTCAGAGTTTTGCTGGTTTAGTCACTGTAGTTCCCTGGAGTCCCAAGGTCAACCTAGCCAAAGTCTGCCCCACCTCGTCACTACCCCGGGTAGGACCTGCCTTTGTGGATCGGAGGGAGATTTGTTACCATGCGAATCATTTGGTACCAAGATGGTCTCGATGCCCAGTATTGGTATTGGCTTATTCCTAGCTGGGCCTCCTGATGGAAACGCCGGACTACCTCTCAGCTTGGGACTGCACATCGCAGCCTCACTCCAATGAACACCTCCAGCCACGATGACGCGGTGAGTCGTTGGGAGGAAGGAGCACATTAAAAATTAAAAATTTCGGCAAAGCCTACACTACCATTTGCTTACACCTACGCTTTTTAACACTGACAATGGTGTATGTCTCTCACAATCTCTATACATTTTTCAAAAGAAGAAAAGAAAAAAAATTTTTGAAAATTCCAAGATCAGGGCAGAAACTGCGAATATCAAGAACAAATACACCAGCGCATTGGCGACTATGCGTACCCTTTTCTACACATACCGAAAGCAATTTGGTCTACCTAGCCAGTATTAAAATAAGTGGAATGTTAAAATAAAAATCCCATTATAATCTAAATTAAAGTCTCAATCTATCTCAATTCTCATATATTTAACTAAATGTATATGTATAAAGAGAACAAAGTGGAAATTGAAAGAAAACAAACCTGTGTGCCAACAAGTAAGAAAGGAGTTTTTGAGCAGTGATGTGCAATTTCTGGCACCCACTTAAATTAAACATTTAAGTACTTATTATTATGCAAAACACAACTGAAAAATTTAAACAATGAACCACTAACCTTCTCACGGACGTTCTCGAATGAAGCTGGAGCTACGACTGAAAAACAGACAAGGAAAACGTCAGTCTGTGGGTAGGAGAGTGGTCGTAAGCGGTCGTAGTCTTCTTGACCAGCAGTGTCAAAAAGACCCAACGTGTACGGTTCGCCACCAATCATAACGGTCACCTGTATTCGAAGAAATTAAAAATCCAGCATAACACCTAATAAAGCCGCAGTCCAAATCATATTGTTCAACTTTTCTTTCCTGCCTATTCTTCCTTGTTTCATAGCAGAGCATTACATTATATACAACCGTAAAGATCGTGTGATGCGAGTAAAATTCGGCACATCAGGTTGGTTTCCCCATAAGTTAAATTTTGGTTCAATACCACTTTGTGCCCCAAACCATAGCCGTTGAACGGTGATTGTTGGTGGACCGCTGGGGTAAACAAAAAACTGGATAAGAGAAAGGCAAAGCAAGGGAATCGGTTGATGCGGTCAATAGCAAGTGAGCCTCGAAGAAAGTACACGGAAAAGGTAATCGTAGGCTCGAGGCTCACCTGAAGTTCCGAGTTTTGCTCATATCTCAACCTCATTAAGGCTGTATTTCAAATTTAATAAAGCCTATCAAATGCAATTAAAATGTCACTATTAGATCCGTGTCACTATGAATGAAACATGAGTGAATAACGGCAAACAGTTATACCCAAGACCAACTTTCTGTTAACCTCCGCATTGATTGATAATTCGATGTTTTTCTTCAATGAGCAGACACGAGGTTGTTATTATAGAATTTATTAGGATACAATAGTTGACGTTTCGGCAATTTCGCTTTCTTCAGAGCCTGGAGAGGTCAAACTGAGATGCGATCTACTCAGCCAAACACTTTCATAACCCCAGCAGATAAAACTTGACCAATAAATTTGTATTCGCATAAGAAACAGCTTCATTTAAACACCTATCGTTCATTTGTTGTAAGTATTTAAGTTAATTGTTGGATAGCAGCCGCACAGATGTCAGGTTCATTGGATTAGCCTGTGGTATGGCGCCAGGTCACGAGTGATGGATGACAAGACACTCCTCCTTGCGGTTCGATCTTGAATTTTTGGAATTGATCCAAAACGCTACGGAACAACCACATGAAGTGCCATCAGAATATTTCCCACTTGTAAAAGAACTCCACAACATACGTTTACGAAAGCGCTAGCACTAAAAATGTGGTCGATAAGTCAAAGTCAGGGGTCACAGTGTTAGGAGGCATAACTGTGCCTGATGGCGCGGGCTCGCTATTAGAATTGGGTCCAAGTTTCTCACCAGCGCAACCCATTTCTAAAGAAACCTTGCGTAGGATCGCGTGCAGCCTGCACGAGCTCCAAGATCGATTCCGAAGCAACGCTAGAATTGAGACACGAAATAAAAAGGAACAACGAGAAGTAAGGGCACTTCCACCACCTCCATTTCCTCGGTTATTTTTTACAGCAAGACCCAAACGATGAAGTCGATATAAAACTTCGTATATTTTCGAGCGAAACTCTCAAAGTCCTTAGCCGCTATCGCGCGAAAAAGTTTAGTTCGAACCTTACATCTGCACAAAAATCTGATATGCGACAGGTTCGAGAGCTAATAAAGTCAAAGAGTACTAGACTATCAGTTAGTGATAAGGGTGGAGAGTTTGTAGTAATTCTTCACCAATTAGATGTCGATATAACGAAAAAACATTTTGAAAACGCATCTCTTTATCGCGCATCTACTGAAAAGGAATTCAGAAGTCAAAATCGAAAACTGAACAATGAATGGGTCAAAATGGCCAGCACACCAGGTTTAAAACCAGCAGATATTTCGCATCTTAAGATCGAAGAGCCGACATGTCCCGTCCTATACTTACTAACCATAAGTTAATATCCGCTAATGATCTGGCGTCTACCGACCTCTCCACCTTTAAAGTTAGACCCATCATCAGTTGTGTAGACGAGTCTACGGATAGAATTGCTTGGTTTGTAAATCTAATCCTCAACCAGTTGCTTAAGCACATAACAGCCCATCTCACGAACAGCCAAATGTTCCCAGACCGTCCACGCAACGCACGTCCCAAAAGCGCGTACATTATGGAGTCGTTCGACGTTACCGCCCTTTACACTAACGTGTCGAACGACTCCGCAATGCGAGCCATCCGCGAGCTTCTTGAGCAACACGAAGGAGCAATTAACATGTACGGCTTTTCGATTCAGCAGCATATGGTTTTCCTAAGGGTCTATTCAAACTGCTCGATCTTCAGATGGTCCGGAAAGTATTACGCGCAAATCAGAGGGTTGGCAATGGGACAGCGACCGGCACCAACCCTTCCTGTTGCCTTTATGTCGAAAATTGAAGCACCAGTAGTCGACCTCAGGCCATTACTCTACTGTAGGTATATGGATGATTGTTTTGTCATCTGCTCCACACAAGAGGAGATAGACAAATGCTTTGAGTTACTGAACGAATAGTCAGAGTACATAGAATTCACCCGTGAGAAACCGAAAGAAAACTGGATTGCATTTCAAAACGTTCAAATCATCACAAAATGGTATCGACGGCCAAGTAGTAAGAATATGGTGGTTCACTACCTCTTCCCTCATCCCTCACACACTAAAAGGGCGCTTATAAGAAATACGTTTCGAACCGCCGCCAGCTTGTGCACAGGTAGAGAGCAGAGGGAAGAATCCTCGAAACTGGCGCACCAAATACCCATTTCAAATGGTTACGAAACTGTAGCTTCTCGGTATAGACATAGAGGAAAACCACAACCCAGAGCGATAATTCTTGCGTAAACAAGGATCCGTTCCTCTTGCCCTTTATTTCAAACGAAATAAGTGCAGCTATAAACCGTTGTTTAATAAGGATCGGTCTAGAGAATTCCGTAAGAGTGATAGAAATACCATCCGACACTCTAAGACGCCAGCTAGTTCGCAATCGCCTATATGACCGTCTATGTATAACGAAAAACTGCATAATTTACCCTAACGGTAGAGACGGTAATTGCATGAGTTCGGGTACAATCTGTCTGATCTTTTGTAAAGCGTGCGGGGACGAATACGTTGGCGAAACGAGTAGACTGCCCTGCGTCCGCATAGAAGAACACCTAGTCGGTAAATCTAAATTAAAACCAAACACTCCACAAGGCGCGCATAGGCCGCAGAGACATAACGGAGAAGATTTGAAGTAGAGGCCACTATCTTCACGCACGAATCGAAAACATCAGCGCGTAAAACTCTTGAAGCGTTTTGGATCACTTCCAAAAATTCAAAAATGAGCCGCAAGCAGGAGTGTCTTGTCATCACGTGTGAATACCTCAGGCTAATCCTGACACAGGCACAGTCCTCGCTCATGTATTACTCTGTGCGGCTATCCATCAACTAACTTAAATACTTACAACAAATAAACGGTAGGTGTTAAAATGAAGGTGTTTCTTATGCGAATACAAATTTATTTGTTAAGTTTTATCTGCTGGGGTTATGAAAGTGTTTGGCTTAGTAGATCGCATCTCAATTTGACCTTTCCAGGCTCTGAAGAAAGCGAAACCGACGAAATGTCAGCTACTGTATCCTAATAAATTCTATAATAACAACCTCGTGTCTGCTTATTGAAGAAAAACATTGAATTGACCAATAGTTAGTTGGCAGAACCGCCCACTATTCTCCGGAAACGGGCATGTGAAGGAAAGCGAAAAGTATGGCCGCTGGTTAAATACTGCACCTGTGGATAACCAAATCCACCAACCCTGTGGGGTGACCCACGATGGCTTCTACACCTGTCTGTGGTAAGATAAGCACTGATCTGATACACAATTGTGCTCTGCAAGTCGTTGTCTAGGCCAAATATACATTCAATCTCTACAATACTTAATGAAATTGAATGCATGGCGTATCCGTAAAGGATTGATCAACGGCGAACGCTCTATTGCCTTATCCCTTTCCTCCGAAAATCAGGAATAAGACGAGCGTCAAAGAAATTGTTGAATATTCCGTCCACATCGACAATATACATACATAAGGCAGTGATCCGTCAGTGACCCTGCGAAAAACCGTAGTCACCGCAAATCCTTTGGTTTGAAAACCGAAGTTTTGCAGGTTAAAATTATTGCTGAGGAATATAACTTCTGGAACGCCTCACGAATTTACGTGTCATCTTTGCGCAGAAGCCCTGCTAATCTTCTTCGTATTGTTCCAATTTTAGTATATGATCAGGAATGTTCATACGGAGCGCTGATAGCGCAGTGGTTGGTGATACTGTTCACCAAGCTGAAAAGGCGCTAGTTTGACCCTCGCCCCAACGCTCTCCTCTAATCCACGTGGGAACGTTGTAACCCGGCTATCTCCAAGATTTCAAGGAGAATTGACACGATTAGCATTCTACGACATTCATAAAAAAGACGAAATCCTCAAATCTCAGCCAAAACAACACGTCAAATGTTCGAAGACCATCAGCCGATGAATGCGAAGAAAAACGAAATGAACGCAAGAACTGCTCGGATCGGCACAGGGCGTGTCATGATGGCAGGTCATGTCCTGCTAGGCTTATTATCATGGCTGCAGGCTAGATTATTCATTAAAAAACAAGTTATTATCAACAACAACCGTCCTCTATAAGTGAGCGCTGCTAGGGTGAGGTTGACTCATTCGAGCGGTGCTCCAATGAAGAAACACCACCTCGAAAAAACAAACAACTGCTGACCATCGACTCCGATCATCGGCTCCGAAGAAGACGAAGACTTCGAGACGTTAACCGAATAAACCTTTCTATCAATCTCGTGTTAGTTTAATAATCCAAAAAGGTACTGATTACTAATACCAAAGTTAGATGGAGGTCGGTTTGAAAAATACTACAAGAACACTACAAAAAAAACAAAATAAAAACTACCGCATAGTTGTCGAACACTGTTGGAACGTATTCGGAAGGAAATTTATTGGTCGTATACGATATAAGAAGACATGTTTTACCTACTGCACCATCACCAACTACGACACATTTGATTGTTTGCATCCTGTAAATAAAAATCCCTAAAAGTGAGATAAACATCGAAACACAGTATGACATAACATTTGGAGGATATCGGTGCAATAATCATACGAATGTGTAAGAGAACGGCAAAAGCTACATGCCCTAAAAGAAGGAAAATAACTATTTTCAAACATAAAAGGATAAATGATAAAGTTCCTGGCGCTGATCAACCTCTGAAGGATGTGCCATGTCTTCGACTTTATCAAGCATCGTTAGGGGTGATTTGAATGCATATCTGGTCTTCACAATGACTCGCAGTGGCCCACCGATGTACGGAGTCAGTGCTGCTATCCGTGCGGACAATTATGGTACGAATGTGCCAGAGGGATCGAAGGCTTGTTGGGCGCTCGGCGAGGGATCGAGCCAACGACCAAATGTGAATTGCAGCCTTCTTACCTCTTACAACTGCGTTACACGCGCCCTGGTTTTCATAGATAAAGGTAATAAAAGCACTAAAAATGAATGTCCTTCTCTACTGTCTAGTTTAGACATAGCAAAACACCTCTAATCAAAACTACAAATATGGTCGTTGAACAAAAAACAAGGCGTAAACTGCTTTATGTATTTATAAGTCATTTTTTGTAACATGCTGGAATGGAACACTAGCAGATTCCAGGTACCGCGCTCACTATTACTACACAAGGCCGCAGAATAGGGCTCGGTTTCAATAGATACGAATTCTTGTTATATTCCAAGGTCCATTTTTCCTAGCATCTCTATCAAAGAACTTTTCGAAATAAAATGTAATGTAAAGAATATACATTGATTTGTCATACCGAGGGTTAAAGGAATGTCGGTTTTGAAATGCTTTCATTACAACTTGTAAAGCGATGTTTTCCCTAACTACGACTTCAAACACATCAAAAACAAATCCATGGGTGCTCTTTTCGGCCTAAAACTTGGTTAAAGACTCATCAGAATACGATGGCGTTATGTCACAGAATGACTTACGAAATGTGCCAAACATCTAAAAGGTTTTCGTCAGGGTTTGTGTAAAAACATAGAGTCATAATGTTGTCTGAACACAGAAAGCACCACCTTACTACCAAGAAATGAAGGAAGTAAAAATGACCTCACATGGACGACACTACTTCCAGGAAACGTAATATATTCGATTGTAGTAAGAAGGCAGTCTTTAACGAAGTGGTTAGACGTGCCCTACAACACACACTGCATCGGTCACTGGATCGATCTCGTCCCGTGCTCAGTAAACCTTCTATGCACAAGGTGCTATCAGACCTGTCTGAGATTGATCAACGCCACATGCCTTATAAGCGCTATCGTTTAACGGCAAAACGATACTTAGACTGGTAACCAACATGGTTGCACTTATGCAGCCATTTTTTGCGACAAAACCCTGCCAGACAAGGTTAACTAAGCCAAACAAGGCACAGGCTAACTTTGACGATCAGAAAAGAAAAGAGCCATATATTTGAGAATGTCTCCGTTGTTAACAAAACTAAGTGACCCAATGTGTCAAACACCTTGCGATTGCACAAAAGTGAATAGGACAAATGGGTTTCTGGATCGTCTTAGGCCCACCAAGAACATCTAGGAAAGCAATAACGTGAGTCGACGAAGAGGAAGAACCTTAACGATGTCGAGCCAGCTAGCCGGATACGGCAGCAAGCGCGCAGATGGTCTGCCGGGCCGCAACGCAGCCGCGCTGCAGGTGACTGGGCGGGGACGGCAGGACAAAGGTGTGCCTCACTGCCGGGTACTGGCAATGTAGGACGAAGGGCTAGTCCTGCACAGATGCGCAGTTCTGCCATTAGGACACATCATGTTCAATTTGCTGAGAATTTCTGTACGGACCTTTATCAATATAGGCTAGAGCGACTCTTATCGAAAACTCCAGAAGCTCCTGAGCAGCTTCGGCCTGCCCGGATGCCAGGTCACTTTCCTTACGAACTGTCCCCGTGTTTGATGGATGTGCTTCCAGCATTTCGTTTGCTTTTCTTTTGCATCATTTCGCCTTTCCATGTCTCCGATCGGATAATATATTCGCTAATAGTAACAAAATGGGACAACGGTTTGCGTATGGGGGCATTATTGTCATAGTAGAGTTACGATGTTATTCTCGTCGAACAGACATTCGGAAACTCCCGAAATGCACTGGTCGTTCCCCAGTGCATATTTGGATGATCCGGGAGAGAAGTTGTACGAGACGCTTTGTTGCACGAAGTTTTATTGCTGTTGTTGTCTTTATTGTTATAACAATTATGGATGAAAAGAAGATAAAGAATGAAGCTGTCGGCGTTGATCAATCCCGGAGGGATGCGCCATGCGTTCAACTTCATTAAGTATCGTTGGAGGCGATTGAATGCACATCTGACCCTTACAATGACTCTCGGTGGCCTAACGATGTGTCGAGCTAGTTCTGCTTTCCTCCCAGACAAATCTGTTACCAATTTACCAAACCCGGAGCGATAAAAGGGTTGATTGGCTTGGGGCGCGGTGATCGATCCCATTTGCATTGCAGGGCGTTCCGACCACTGCGCTACGGGCGCCCAGTTAACAATTATGGAATCTCAACGTTGCTGAGATATTTGCAAAACTCTGGACCGCAGGT